ATTTTAATAATTTAATATTCAAAAGAAAGCTTACGATCTAAGCTTTCTCTTGAATATTAAATTATCCGGATAGCTTCAAAATTCATCGAAATATGAGCTGTGGAAGTTAAGATATTAATTTTTTTTAAAATGTCAATTTGCCTTATTTCTATTGACGGCAGCCCATATATAAAAAGTGCTGTCCCACACTGTATATGAGTGTCGCCAAAAGAAACCCGACAATTTAAATATAGACTATATTTAATTGTCGGGTTTTCTTTTGGCGACACTCATATATACAGTCAAACCTCCATATATGCGTTCACCTTGGGACTGACCATAAGTTTGCATTTGTAGAGGGTGTGCATTATAGAGAGTAATTTATAAGTGTCATTATTTTAAATATTCACCCAGTAAAGCTTAAAATATTAAAAATATTTTAAAAATCTGTCTAGTAGAAGATATCTCCGTACATTAATTCTTTTTACAAAATTTTTTCTAGCAGTGTTTCGAATTTTTTCCGTGTACGACGATATGCTCTATCTTCTATTGATTTAAAAATTGTCTGGTTGCAAATATTTAGAAAGGTTACTACTGAAATGAAGTGTTTTTTTTCAAAATAAATACAAACAGGAATGGTGTCACATTTTTTCACATGATCTGACCAATCATAATTTTTTAAAATCACGGATATTTAGGTTATTTTCCGATTCTAAGAAAATTTAGATACTAGAGTGCAGGTGAAAATTTTTTTATAATACTGATAGTAAAAGCATATAAAAAATGCAATAACTATCGAACCAGCAAGCCCACACAAATAAAAATATATTTATTGTGTCTATTTTAATTTAAAGTAACAACGCTCTTTTTTTTTATTTTCATCGTCTGGAGCGTAGTGGAGGACTCAAAGTGATACCAAAATTCTCGTTTTGATGAATTTCTAATGAAATTATCAAAAACGTAACTTTGAACTTCCTGTCTGTTAAAAATTTCAAAGTTACATTATTGATATTTTTACTAAAAATTCATCAAAAACGAGAATTTTGGTACTAATTGAGTCCTCCGTTATGCTCCAGACAATGAAAAAAAAAGAGAGTTGTTTCTTTAAAGAGCACATTAAAATAAACTCAATAAATATATTTTTATTTGTGTGGGCTTGCTGGTTCAAGAGTTATTGCAATTTGAATTTTGATTAAGCACCATGTAATTAGACATGCATCGAACACCCCAGTATAACGTCAACATTAAGTTTTATACATATATAAAAGGTTATATAGAATTGTATTTGATTCGAGAGATCATCATATCCATTTATATTCATATTGTAAAAGTAAATTTTTTTCAATGACAATTTCTGACAACGATAACGATAATATTCCAGGAACAACGGTTGTTCGGTAATAAATTTATTAATTTGATTCAATTCAAGTTTATCTTTTTATGAATTAGAATTAGAATTATCTTTTCTAAAGGCTCCAGATAAATGTCTCAAAACTTGAACAATATCTTGTTTCGAGAATACCGGGATTTAAAATTCCTTTAAAAGTTCGACAATTTAAATTTGGACAAAGTAATCCTACGTATCTCTTAATCGATGCCAAGTAATATTTTTAAATTTTTATTATTTTAAATTTTCATATAAAATTAAATAATTTATTATAATAGTGAAAAACATTATGTACTTCGAAAGAAACCCCCGGGAACACTTTTATCTAAAACAGCACATGCTGTTGAACGAGAATTTAAAGTACTTGACGCGTTAAGTCGTAATACTGATGTACCTGTACCAAAAGTGTACATTCTTTGTGAGGATAATGAAATATTGGGAACTCCATTTTTTGTAAATGTTTTTTTTTTAATTAACAAATATCGGTTATTAAATAAAATATAAATAAATTAAAAATATAATAACTATCTTAATTCTTAATTTAATAATTTTCAGGTAATGGAATTCTTGAAAGGAAGAATTTTTGAAGATGTACTCCTTTCGCCACTTCCCATTGAAGATCGCAGAAAATGGTAATTACAATATTGCATCGCTTTTCAAATTATTTAAAATTACTGTGATTGCTATCATAAAGAAATCTAAAAATTCTCTAATTGTCTGAAATTAAAAATTTGCATTCTCTCTAGTATAATAAAACTGGTAGATTGCTAGCAGTATGATGGCAAAGTTCCCGCTAATAAAATAAGATAAACTGTGAATTTAGAAATATTATTTTGCAACTATCAGTTCTATTATGCTATAGAATCGAAATATAAATGAAAATTTTTATTCTAGACAAGCTAATTAGAATTGTTTATAAAGTTTTCATAAGATGATTGTTATTTGGTTATAGTAAATATTTATTATTTAGCAGCTTACACAATTTCTTTTCGTTTAATCAGTTGGTATTCGGCCATTGAGACCCTTGTAAAACTTCACTCGATTAATTATAAGTCCATAGGACTTGAGAATTACGGAAAAGCATCAGGATTTTATTCTCGACAAATTCGTTCATTGCTCAAAGTTTCAGAGGCTCAAGCTGCTGTAATGGATGATGAAGGTAATAAAGTAGGCCCTCTTCCAAGGCTCAATGACATGATTCAATGGTTTAAAAACAATGAAATTTCGGACGATACATCTATCATTCATGGGGATTTCAAGGTATGTAGATTATTTATTTAAAATTAGTTTATTGTAATTAATTGGTCTGTATTTATAACACTGAATAATTTATATTTTGTATTTTTATAATGCAGATTGATAATTTAGTGAGTCACGAAATATACCGTTTTTTATTACTTCT